GCCGCCCCGCGCGCTCCCTCCCCGGCAGCCCTGGGACCTTGGGCCACCGTTGCCAGGTCGCTCCTGCAGGCCCCCGCTGGTCTCTAAACCGACCGCGCCTCTTGCTCCTTTGCCACCGCTTCTGCCCTCGACCTAGAGTGTGGAGCGGAGGTGGGGGGCCAAGGCCCGGATGGGGGCAGCTCTGAACACACGGATCTTGATCTCCAGCTCGAGGATCTGCAGCCCGAGGGCCAGGCTTGCGAGGAATGAAGTAACAGCTTCACCCGAAGTGCACTTTTCTGGATAAATGAGCTCCATTCAATTGCACCAGTTCAGCCCTAACGGGGGTTCAGCTCCCGGACTGGCTCATTCAGACACCTGCTTTCTTCTCAAGCTCCTCTTGAACATCTTCTTCTTCTTTTGGTACTGGGGATTGAATTCGAGTCCTTGTGCTTTCGAGGCAGGGGGCAGAACCACTGAGCTAAATAAATCCCTGGTCCATAATTTTTAATCCAAAACTTGCAGTGCACGTCTCAGGCAAATAGACTTGTGCCTCCCACTTTCAGTCACCTTCCCCACAGCAAACTGGGACGCTCAGAATCAGTTCCCCAGCTCCTTTCACCAGGATGGTCCTCCCTACCAGCCCCGGAGAGAGGACGCTGCAGTCAGTGAAGCTTGGTCCTGTCCCAGCTCACGTCCCCTCCCCGTCCAGCCAAAATCCAACTAAAATCAGTGTGGGCCCAAAAGGACCGAAATAAGGGTCACAGCAACTGACTCCTGCATGTGCCTGGGAATCTTACGGTTCTGGATTCTTCAAAGCTCACACTTAGGCACTTAAATCTACGTGCAGTTTGTAGCGTGCACTGTTTCGTGTGTCTCAGCGGGACAGCAAGACCCACATCACACTTGACCCCCCAGACACTTCCCTGTGCAAACAGGACGGGGTGGCCTGGGGAAGCATCAGGAAGGGCAGGGAGTGCTGGGTGTGGTAGCCCATGCCTGTGATCCCAGCACTCAGGAGGCTGCAGCAGGAGGATTGGGCTACATTGAGAGTTCAAGGCCAGCCCGAATTGCACAGAGGCCCTGTCTCAAAACAGCAGCAATAAAAAATGTTCGAGTGTCCGGCTTCATTGCTTTTATTGTATCCTTAGTCCTGAAGAATTTACAGCCCCATTTTATAGGTGGGAAATTGGTCTTAAGAGATTAAGTAACAAGCCTTAAAATTCACTCTTTTATTTGTAGAGGACAATCAAGTCTGGAGAAGTCAGAGAAGGGGAAAGCAGGGTAAACTTGAGGAGGTATGTCATTAGCAAATGCAGAAATGTACAAACTTGTGCTTAAACTTATTTGAGGAGAGTAGGAAGAGGCCAGTGAGCTTGACTGACTGAGGCAGGAAGATGCCTCATGGCGAACACAAGGGAAAGCCAGGCAGTGGCCTGGATGGTAAGGGTGAGGAAGTCAGTGAAGACATGGCTGAGAGAGGATTCTGCAGTCCATGTGAGGAAGTGGGTGGGAAGTATCTCTAGGGCGGGACCACAAGACTGCTGCCCCACTGCGCGCAGGGGCCAGTGGGCGGGGCGCTAGCTCAGGAGGCAGCACCAAGTAGGCCAGCGGGCGGGGCTCTGCAGCTCTCGGCTTCACGCTGAGGCAGACTTCCTCCCTGAGGTACTCTGGTGGCAGACTCTATCTCACACGTTTTCTAAATGAGAAAATAGTGATTTCAATGCCAAGTTCCAGGATAGCTCTTGCTAAACTGCCACTGGGCAGTCACTCCAGTACTTCAGACCAGTCAATTCCTGCTGTCCGCCCCTTCCCTCTCTGAACCTCTCCAGTTATTGAAAGCAATTAGTGGAACTTTCTGAGAAGCTGGTTTTTCAAATTTTATTAGCACACTTCTGCGTACATGGTTCCACTCACTGTGTGGAGTTGGTACACGTGCACCCTAGTATTTTTACCTTCCTTACCTCTTCCCTTCCTCCCCAGTCCGCTTCTGGGTCCCTTTCTATCTGCAAAAGACCTACCTCCCTTCTTCCTATTTTGTTCTTTATGTTTGTCATGTAAGAGGAACCATGAGGTACTTGTGCCTACTTCCCTTCCTTGTCCTGAAGGTGCGCAGAAAGCCAATTTGATTGACAATACTCTTGCATGCCATGCTGGTAGGAGCTGAACAAGGGAGAGTAGTGACAGTGGAAGAGAAGGCCTGAAATCAAACCAAGACCTTCATCCAAACCTAGCCACGACCGTGCCCTTCAGTGGGCCCTTTGTTATCCTAGAAGTCATTACCCTGGTGGCTATAAGATCCCATTTGGAAACGCCTGGAGTACTTCACAAACACAAGTTCTGTTTTGTGAGTGCCTGTGTGCTCGTGTGTGACAGGGTCCCGCTTTGTAGCGTGGGTTGGTCTTGAACTACGTAGCACAGGTTGGCCTGTGTGACAGGGTCCCGCTTTGTAGCGTGGGTTGGTCTTGAACTATGTAGCACAGGTTGGCCTCAAACTCACAGCGATCTTCCTGCCTCAGCCTCCTGAGTGCTGGGATTACAGGTGTGTGCCACACCTGGCTACAAACACAAGTTTTTGTTGTTTTGAGACAAGGTGTTTTTTTTGAGTAAAGGTCGCCATTGAACTCACTATGTAGTGCATATGCTGGGTGCTGTGCTTGCCTGTAATCCCGGCATTTAGGAGGACGAGGCAGTAGCATCACTGTGAGTTTGAGGCCAGTCTGGGATACATAGCAAGACTGTATCTGAAAAACAAAAAACACCAAAAATCTACGCAGCCAAGCCTGGCCTCAAACTCAGTGATTTCTCCTGCCTCATCCTTGAGTGCCAGGATCACAGACGTTTTGCTTTTGCTGGGTTATTTCCCCAGCTGTGCCATAGGACAGTGCCTGAGGGCAGCAGGAACCTCCACATCATGCTTGGTCTGGCTTCAGGCGCAGCAGTGCAGTTACTGTCCTGAGGGTCAGAGATGAAGAGAACGGGCACGAACTCCTCAAACTTGAGCCTTGTCAGGCTCACTTCCAGTCCGTGAAGTAACGTTGCCACCTCTGCCTGATTTGCCAGGTGCTCCCTCTCTAGGTGGAGCTGGCTTTACTCTGGCCACATGCACACAGGGACCCGTCTTCCTGTTGCACTGTCTCCTTTTGCTTTGCTCTCAGCCTGGGCCCTCGGCTTGCCCTCCACATTCCAGCCTTGGGAGTGGTTGGTCAGAGGTCAGGACACGTCCACAAGTGACGTCAAGCCCCCACCCCCACTTCCACGGGCTCAGATTTGATTCTGAGTGCCAGGGTGGCAGGTGTACGCCAACATGCCTCATGGCAAACACAAGGGAAAGCCAGGCAGTGGCCTGGATGGTAAGGGTGAGGAAGTCAGTGAAGACATGGCTGAGAGAGGATTCTGCAGTCCATGTGAGGGAGTGGGTGGGAAGTATCACTAGGGCGGGGCCTCAAGACTGGCTCACAACCGTACTTTTGGAGATTGTTTTTTTTTTTTGGATACTGGTGATCCAACTTGAGTCCTCATGGTTGGAAGACAGGTGGCAGAACTGTTGAGCTAAATCCCTGGCCCAAGATAAGGTTTGATCAGATGTCAGCACACCCAAGGTGCCTGCTTAGGATCAATTGCAATCGTCTGCTCAGAAGAGAAAGAGAACCAGGCGAAAGCAGTTACCATTGACTGTGTTCTTGCTGTACACCAGGCACGGCTGAGCCCTTTCCATGCAGAAACTGTCCTCACAAACCAAAGTAGTGTTGTTCCTCTCAACAGATGAAGAAACACTGTCAGGGAGTCTACGTAACCTGCCAAAGACCAAAGGATTAGTGCGGTGAATCTGGAACCTAAGGCTAAGCCTAGGGGCCAAGGCAAGGTCTCTCCCCTACATTGCACGCCACCCCACTTCCCAAGTACTATGGCTGTCACCGCTCTGCCAGGGCTCAACTTCCATCCCTTTATCCCACTGTCCGGAGAAAAGGGCTCATGGGTCGTCTCTTCCAACCCAGACTGGCAAAGGGAGAGCGGGGCAGAGGCCCCTCTGCGAGCACAGGCATGACTTTTGTCCTGGCCACCTCCTTTCTGGGCTGGGGCTCTGGATCACAGGAGTTTGTTTCTAGCCCTTTTTGCCCAATAATCTCTGAAGTACCTTAACCTGGATAGCAGCAGGTAAGAGTCATGAGAGCACGGTTTGTCATTTACCACCAAATCCTTATTGAATACTGGAAAGTGTGCCTAACATGTAAGTAGACACTTAATAGTCGTTAAATTAACAAGGCCAATGAGGTAACAGTGAGATTACTGAATTCCTGACTGGGAAGTGCACAGCAAATTATTAATTAGTTATATAAAAGGGAGCTGTATATAGCTGTGGTTTTAAAATTTCCAAATGTAAAAGGAGACATCCAGCTAAGAAAGTGGAGAATCCAGAGCTAGAGGAAGGGAGGAAGCAATCAGTTTAAAAAGTAGGGAATGAGCCAAGGATTGAACTCTGTGGTTCTGCCACCTGCCTTGCAAGTGAAAGGTCCCAAGTTCAATCCCTGGTACTGAAGAAAAACATATACAAACAAACAAACAAACTTAGTAAACATAGATTTGGAGAAATCCTACAAAGAGTTTGGAGATAAAATTTAAAGGCCTGGAGATTTAGCTCAGTGGTTCCACAGCCAAGCACAAGGTCCCGAGTTTGATCCCGAGCATAAAAAAAACAAAATAAACAACAACAACAACAAAAAAATCAAAACAAAAAACCCAGGGAATGGGGTAGAGGAAGACACAAGACATTCAAGGTACTTACTTATCCCCACTCCCGAACAAATGTTACAAACATATTCCAACTGAGAAAAAGTTTTAATATCACACACATACATCCATAGGACTTTAACAAGATGTAGTATAAAAACCTTAAGAAAAATGAAAGAAAAGAGAAATGCACATTTACTGGCTAGGAGCTGGTGGGCTACCTGGCTGACAGGACGCCCGGGGAGACCAAACACACACACTGGGCTTGGCACATCACACCGAGCACAGGCAGGAAGTAACCATGACCAAGCCAACGGCTCTGTGCTCCTCCCGCTCCCGAGGCAAACCAGGACGATCTCCTGCTCTTGCAACTTAGTTCCTTGTCAGTGGTCATTTCTTAAATTTTTTTTTTGTTTTTTGGAGACGAGTCTTGCTATGTAGTCCAGGCAGACCTTGAACTCACTGCATAGAACGGGATGACCTTGATCTTCCCGCCTCAGCCTCCCGGATGCTGGAATAACAGGTGTGTACCATCATGCCTGGCATTTTTAAAAATTCTAATTTTTTAAATTTGGTTTCAAGACTCCACACATTATTACTGGTTGGTCCCCACCCACTGTATGTTTTGATAAATATGAAAATACAAATGGTCTAACTGAACCTGGGTGATAACACTTCATTATTTATCTTTTACATCTGGGGAGATTTTAAATCAAGTCAAAGCAAGCTACTTGTGTTTCCAAAGAAAACAAAATGCCAGCCTTCTAAAAGGTGACCAAGGCACCACTGCCATCAGGGGACAGAAAATGTACAAATACTGTTACTTTACTGTGACAGGGATGAGCCTCTTCACTTAATGTAACTATGAGAATTATTTTCAGAGAACAAGGAAAGGCTAGAAAAGGCAAACAGGTACAACAGAAACAGGAACACAAGTACCCTAAGTTTCTGCTTGCATGGAAGGGTCATCAGGCTCACACACACATGCAGGCGAGACCAGGCGACTGGTAGAGGCCCTGCCGAGCGCACCACCCCCAGGGCAGGCTTTGTGGCAGAGCCCTGTGGCCCCTGACAATGTGCAAGGAACTTCTCTCCCACCCTCTCGCCCCTCACTGGGCGATGGCAGGAGGGAGACAGTCTTGGGGCCAAGAGGGAGAAAGGGAACACTTGATTTGGGAGTAAGCCACGGCCTACTTGTGCTACAAGAGAAGAATCACACATTTCCGTGAGAACCCAACTGTAGAACTGACAGGACTTCGACCCGGAGGCGAGGCTCTTCCCGGTCAGAGGCGCGAGGCCTAAACCGATGTCCGGCCTCTGCTCTAAAAGGACAGATGAACACTTCACTTGAATGGAGAAAGACAATTAAAAATAGATTTTTCTTACTGGAATTGTTAAATAAAAATATATCAAAATGGTTTTAAGTTTGATGGGCAGTTATCTGCTGAAACTGCAATACAAAAGGGTCACTTAAAAAAAGAAACCCGAATAACCCCCTTTCTCCCCCCCTGCCAATGTACGCAACTAGAAAATATTTACACACTGTAATTACAAGCAATATAAGCAGTATTTTATACTTTGAAATTTTGTACACTTTACACAAAGCAAAATGAAAAATATATGAACACTTACAAAATTACACACAAATAATGTATCTACAAATTATTACAGAGTGGAAAACCCCACTGTTGGCAGACAGACGTGAGTTTTAAGCTTCTGTCAAATATAACTTTTTGTATTTCTCTTACATCCCCAATCCCCTTTAAAACTTTTATTTTGAAACAGGGTCTCACTAAGTCACCCACGCTGGGCTCAAACTTGTAACCCTCTTGCCTCAGCCTCCCAGAGTGCTGGGGTTACAGGTGTGTTCCACCAGGCATGGTTCTATCTATCTCTCTTTTTTTTTTTTGGTACCAGGGATTGAACTCGGGTCCTTGTGCTTGCAAGGCAGGCCACCGAACCACTGAGCTAAATCCCTGGCCCCTATCTATCTCTTTAACCTTATGTGGTGTTTTGCAATGAAACCCTCAAGAGGTAGTATCAAAATAAGACTCTTAACAGTAAACCCAGCACAATACAACTTCTATGGGTCTGACTCTTGGAGACTCATTCAGCCTGGGTTTTGGAAACTGGCTTGATTTTGCCTATAGAAACTCTTAACTGCCCATTGCCTGACACGAGCTCAAAAGCTGACCGATTTTTCTTTTTGGTACTGGGGATCAAACTCAGAACCTTGAACTTTCGAGGCAGGTATGGCACCACTGAGCTAAAGCCCTGGCCCAAAAGTTGGCGAATGTTATAATAAATGATAAACTGAAGATAAAAACGTTTTTCACTCTTATACCTCAGTGTAGAGGTAGAAAGTTTTCAGTTGAATTTCTCCCCTCTCAAACCATAAACGTCACCCCCAGTCATCTTCTTTCCTGCCAGCCCCGAAAGAACAGAAACAAAAGCTGGTGCCTTTGGGGAAGCAAAGCCTCCTACAAGGGACGCTTAGTCACCACAGAACTCTCCCGCTGGTTAGGAAGGGTCTGTTACTGCCAAAGTTTCGAGGGCGAAGGGCTGAAACCCGCATGTGTACTTCTACTAAGCCTCACCATTTCAAAAGGATGGCTTTCCAGTGTTTAAGAATTTGAGCAGCTCTAGTTTTCAAGTGCAACAGCTTCAAGGTACCAGCACACATATGTGGAGACGTCCCTAAGGTCCCAAAGAGCAAACATGATCCAGGTCTCCGTCACGGTTATAAACTCACAGCAACAAGGTGTTTGGAAACATTTCCAGGTCTCCAAGCTTTTAAAATATACTTCTGTAATACTGGTATTAAGGGCCAGAATTCTGAGATTTTTTTAACCAATATTTCAAAAAGATATAAGCATTTAAAAGAAATCCAAAACAAAATACATATGAATGTTTTGGTATTTAAAAAACAGAGCCGTTATCTTACAGCTCATTCTTTTTCTCTTAGGGAGAATCTGAAAATACATCAAACTCGTTTCTTAATTGTTTAAATGTTTTGTTATTCATTTATTTAGACAGAGTCTTGCTACACAGTCCAGGGTGGCCTTAAGGTCACTATGCAGCCCAGGCTGGCCTCAAACTTGTGGTGATCCTCCTATCTTAGCCTCCCAAGTGCAGGGATTACAGGCGTGTGCCACCACGCCCAGCATTTACACCAATTTAAAAAACTATTATATTTATAGCCTTAAATGGTAAAGGAAACTGCATGGTTTAGAACTTGTGGTTTATAGGAGTTATAGAAGAGATCTATGCTTTTATTAGTATATTGTTATAAGCTTTCCCTTTGCATCCTAAAACAACCAAGAAAAATTAAACCCAATTGAAACTCGGTCTTGGTTTCCAATGTCCAATTCCTCAAGCTGGTCCAAACTTTTATTTCCTGTGACTATCCAGGTGCCACAAATACTACCTAAAAAAGATAACTGGCGTACAATAGAACGAAAGACGTAGCAGAGGCAGCTCAGACATGTAACTACTCGCCGCTTCCATCCCTCCCCTTTCAGAGGCTCTGCTCTTTCACACGGTCAGCTGCCTTAACAATGGAGCAGATAACATTTCATCTCTGCTTCAGGAATGGCAGTTTCTTCATTACCAGCCGCCCTCCAGTTTCAGGTGGCACATCTGCTGTGCACTTTCTTAACATCCACTGGATTCCACAGTAATACTTTTTAATCCACTTGGACAGGTTCTTAGTGGATTTCTCTTGGTTCATATTTTTGCTGCTGCAATTCTTGTTAAGAATCTGGTACCCAGAAGTCATGAAGTTGCCCCTAGAAAAGTGAAGAAAAAACAAAAACAAAAACAGAAGAAAGGAAAATTCAATCAGATTATAAATTATCCCTTATAAAACTAGTAATCATCAGACAATGGGGTTTGATAATGAAAGTAGTTAAGTTTTTTGGGGTACTAGGGATTGGACCCAGGGGACACTCTGGTAAACTACATTCCTAGCTCACTGCATTCCATTTCATTTACTTCACTCTGAGACAAGATCTTGCTATGTAGTTCAGGCTGACGACTTGTTACATAGCTCAGGCTGGCTAAGAACTCACAGCCATCCTCCTGGCTTAGCCTCCTGAGGGCTGGGATTACAGGTGTGTAACACCATGTCTGGGACCCGACCCTTTTTGTCTTTAGACAGGGTTTTGCCCAGTTTCCCAGGCTGGCCTTGAACTTGTAATTCCCCTTCCTTGGCCTCCCCAAGTGCTGGGGTTACAGGTATGCACCACTGTGTTGGACCGATTTTTTTTTTTTCTCTCCAGTACTGGGAATTAAACCCAGGACTGCTGCACTGAGCTACACCCCCAGCCATTTGTAAAATTTTTAGACAGCATCTCACTCAGTCTCTGAATTGTCCAGGCTGGGCTTGAATTCACAACCCTCCTGCCCTAGCCTCCCAGAGTGCTGGGATGAACCATAATGCAGAGTTTACATCTTCATAAATTTCTCTGAAAACCTCTGATAAATCAAATCACAAAATTTCACATTTTGTGGTCTAATAATTTTAAAAGTATAAGCCAGGCGTGGTGGCACACACCTGTAATCCTGGCACCTGGGAGGCTGAGGCAGGAGGATCGCTGTGAGTTGAGACCAGCCTGGGCCACATAGTGAGTTCCAGGTCAGTCTCAACTACATAGTGAGACCCTGTCTCAAAAAAACCAAAAAAGGGGCTGTGGATTTGGCTCAGTGGTTCTACTGCCTGCCTAGCAAGTGCAAGGACCAGAGTTCGATCCCTGGCACCACATAACACACATACACACACACAGTGCTAAAAATCACATTATAAAGACAAATGAAAAGACAACGTACAGAATGGGAGAAAATATTTATACACTGCATCAATAAGGGACTTGTATCCAGATCACATGCAGAATTTTTACTATGGAATAATAAAAATAAATAACCTAATTAAAATTGTGCAAAGGACCTATACAGACATTTCTCCAAAGAAGCTATTCAAATGGCCAATAGGTATAATTAAAAGATGCTCAACATCCTCACTGCCGACAGGATGAAACCACGAAGGTCCCCTGCTTAGCCCGTCACAGGCTCAGTCGGAGGTTAGAACCCTCATACATACTGATGGGAATATAAAATGGCACAGCCACCACGGAAACGGTTTGGCAGCTCCTGAGCACACTGAACACATGAAGCCCAGCACTACCCACTCAGTTTAGAGCCCCAGGGATATATACTCAAGGTGCTTTCATTTGGAAACACAGCCAACAAAACTCGGATACAAATGTCCATGGATGCATTAAGTGAAAACAACTCCAATGTCCACCTTCTAAGTCGATAAATAAAATGTAATCTATCCGAGTCAGTGAGTACTGTTCAGCAATAGCAAGGAAATACATACAGCAATATGGATAGCTCATTATGTTAGGGGAAAGAAGCTAGTCACAAAAGAACACACAGTCCATCTCATGTATGGGAAATGTCCAGAACAGGCAAATCTGGGAACTAGAGGCTGGGACGGATACGGCTCGGTGGGAGAGCGACTGCCCAGCACGCTCGAGGCCCTGAGACCACTCTCCAGGAACACCTTGAATGGAGAGCGAGGGAGGAAGGAGGAGGGAGGGCAGGAAGCGGGGCGACGAGGAGTGACTGCTAGTAGGAACAGGATTTCTTTTAGGGATGACAAAAATGTTCTGGAGCTAGACTGTGGTGATGGTATTCACTACTCTATGAACGTAAGAAAAAGCATATACTTTAGTGAACGAAATATATTTTATGTGGAGTATATCTTAACAGACCTGTTAAGAAAAATGCTTCTCATGAAACACCCTTCATTTAGTGCAATGTAAAGTTTTTAAATGGACCACATCACTTCTTTTTTTGTCTGTTTGAAATAGGGTCTCACTGCAGTGTATATTCCAGGCCAGCCTCGATCTTACTATGTAGCCCAGGCTGGCCTCGAACTCATGGCAATCCTCCTGCCTCAGCCTCCCGAGTGCTGAGATTATAGGTGTGCGACAGCTTGGCCATACAACTTCTGAAAGTAAGTAATGAATATAAAGCAAATAAAAAATAAAGAGAGACAAACCATATATTGTTTTCAGTTTATCTTCCTATAATTAGACCAAGTGCTCCATTAGTTTTTGTTCTTAACAGTATGAAGAACACCATTTATTTAGTACAGCTATTAAGATTAAATAAAACCATTTAATAAAATGGCACCTGAGTAGGCCGACAGTTCTGGATTATTTCCTGCCATTTTCCATGTATCCTTGCAACCAGGTCTTTCACCTTAAAATTAAAAAGAGGAAAAGGGATCAGATAAAAAATTCTCAGCTACAACCAATTGAACACTTAATACAGAAAAAATCTCATAGCTATTAAAGGCCCACACCCAACAACTCAGTATGGTTCTCCTAAAAAAAAGAAAACAAGATACTCACCTTTCAGAGGGACTTTCGAATTCTAGCAATTAACAAAAGCATCACTCTAATCTAAAATATCAAGTGCGTGGACTCAATTTTCCAGTTAGTTATTAAAGGCTACCCCAAAGGTAGTCCCTGCTCTCCGAGGAGCGCACGTGCCTGCCCGCTTGTGAACACTGGCGGGAGAAGTACAGGGTGATCTGTGCACAGACCCTGGCTCTGGCTGTTCCCTGCCAGCCAGTTCTTCAAAGACTCAAAGCCACAAAAAATATGTGTCATGCTCTTTCCACACCATCAGATCCAAAATTCAGCTCGTTCTCTCCATAAATTTTGCAAAGTACTATGAAGCCCCTTTAGTTTTAGAGACAGGGTCCTTCTCTGCAGTCCAAGCTGGGCTTGAATTTGTTATTGACCCCAGGCTAGTCTCAAACTTGCGATTCTCCTGCCTCAGCCTTCAGAGTGCTGGATTTGCCATTATGCCGGGGACAAATCCCCTCCAAATACCAGGTGTGTTTACCATGAGGGTCAGCCAGACCTGTAACACTCAACACTCCACCACAGTCTGGGCATGGCAGCTCAGCCCATGATCCCAGCACTCGGGAGACCGAGGCAGGAGGACTGCCGAGAGTTCAAAGCCAGCCTGAATCACATGAAGAGACCCTGTCTAAAAAACAGAAGAAAGTATATACCCTACATCCAGAAAGGCTTTGTTTAAATGACCAGCCTTAGCAGGTATTCAATGTAAGATATAAAATCACAAAGATGATACCTAATATCCATAGCTATTCAAACACAAAAGGCACATTATAAAAACTAAAAGATGATATAGATGTTTAAAAAAAAAGTTGTTTAATTTTGTCTCAGGAAAACTTAAATCATTCTATTAATACTAAAGTTGCCCTCCTATCTCATTCTCATAAATTTGGTGTATTTTTTTGGGAGGGGGGGTTTGAAATGGTCTCACTATGTAGTTGAGGCTGACCTGGAACTCACTATGTAGCCCAGGCTGGTCTTGAACTCATAGCAATCCTCCTGCCTCAGCCTCCTGAGTGCTGGGATCACAGGTGTGTGCCACCATGGCTGGCAAATTTGTTTTTTTTACTGTCTTAGACTAAACGAAACCTTGAAGAGGAAAACAGCAAGCTCACTAGGCACTACATCCTTCCTAGAGCTCGGACAGGGAGATGTAGGGCCCGGATTTGAAGAGTCCTCCTTTTACTACATTCTTCAATGGAATAGTCAAAGAATGATAGCTAACTTATTTCCTCTTCTTGATTTTTTTTTCCTTTTTTTGGTGCTGGGTATTGAATTCAGGACCTCGCACTTTGGAGGCAGGTGGCAGAACCACTGAGCTAAACCCGTGGCCCATCTTTCTTCTTTTTGATTATTTTGTTTGGTACCAGGGATCGAACTTGAGACTTTGCCCTCGTGAGGTAGGGAGCGGCACCACTGAGCTTAATCCCCAGCTCTTGATTTTTGTTTTTGAGGGTCTCAATATGTAGTTCAGATTGACCTTGAACTCCCTATGTAGCCCAGGGATTCTCCTGCCGCAGCCTCCCAAGTGTAGGGATTATGAGAGTGCGCCCCCATGCCCGGCTCTATTTCTTTTTTATGAGTAAAACAAGTTTTTAACCATCATAAACTTTCCTAATTATGTATTTAGTCAAACAGCTTCAATCCTTCAAATTATCTTAAGCATAAGAGTTTAATTTGTACAATGGGAAAAAAAAACTAAGAAATTCCAAATGTTACTGAAAATAATTTTTCTTCTTGTGTGTTAAAGACTTTCACAACAATCGTTCCTTTCACTTTAAATCTATCTAGACAAGTACAGTACTTAACAGAAGCAGAAGCAGATTCTAGTATTAAAGAAAAAAGTCTTATTTTTAGCTTTTAAAATTTTTTAATGCCAGGAATTGAACTCAGGGCCTTGGGCACACTTAGCAAGCACTCTGCCACTAAGACGCTCCCCAACCCCTTAAATATATTTTCCACACCTCTTTTTAAAAATTATTTATTTATTCAATTATTTTTTGGAGACAGGGTCTTACTACGTAGTTGAGACTGACCTGGAACTCACTATGTAGCCCAGGCTGGTCTTGAACTCACAGCGATCCTCCTGCCTCAGCCTCCCAAGTGCTGGGATTACAGGCATGGGCCACCATGCCTGGCTTCACACCTCTTTTTAAAAGAGAGCTTATATGATTCTCTTCCTTAAATATTAAAGCAACAAAAATTAAACAATAACAAAAATTAAACCCATACTTACTTTAGTTCTGTAAAAAAGCCTTGCATCTTCCCTAATGTCACACTTCACATGCTTTTCCAGAGCCCCACAGAGCAGCACAAAGTCTTTCTGCACAGAACCAAAGAAACCCAAGGGATTAAAAAAAATTTTGAAACATTACAAATTAACAGAAAGATTATACAGTAGAAACTAAGTCATTTAAAAATCTACCATTTCCCAGTTAGCAATTTCTGATGTTAATCATCCAACATAATAGCAGCCTTATCAGTAAAAGTAGTCACTTACATGAAAATAGGGTGATTATGGTTATTGCTAAGTTAACTTAAAACAGAGAGAGAGAGGAGCCAGCACAGTGGTGCACACCTGTAGCCCCAGCTCTGTGAGGCTGAGAAGCAGCCCAACAGGAAGATATCAGGGATTCCCTGGGTCTCGAACAATGTAAAGTATATGTCCTGCTGGAGTGAGCACTATTGCCTACACCTAAATGGAAGTGTTAAGACCTTCTACTTAAATGAACTCTTTTTTTTATCAAACTCTTAAAACAGCTAGGCCCGGTGATGCATGCCCATAATTCCAGCACTCGAAGGCTGAGGCGGGAAGATTCAAAGTTCAAACCAAGCCCAAGAAACTGAACAAGACTGCATTTCAAAATAAGCTAGGAACAACATAGGCTAGGAATGTAGCTCAGTGTGAAAGCCTTAGGTTCAATTCTCAGACCCACAAAAACAACAACAAGAAAAACAAGCAAGGGCCAGGTATGTAGCTGAGCAGCACAGCACCTGCCTGGTAAAAGTGAGGCCCTGAATTCAATTCTGGGTACCAAAACCCAACAACAACAACAAACAAAACAAAACAAAACCAAGCAAGCAGCATTTTCTTCTGGGATCTGACTACTATACAAGGGGTTATTTATGTGAAATATGTATTTATCAGAACTGTTAAAAAATTAATTAAAAAAAGAAACTGTTACTTTATGGTTTTTAACGTATTTTCTTTTGAGATGTGGCCTACTTATTTATGTGCAGATTAAGCTACTGTTAATAGAGGATTGCAGTTACTTCTTTGAAAAATTAAATGTCTTAAGTTTTTGGGTTTTTTTTTTTTTGTAGCAGGAGTAGAACTAAGGACCCTTGCACCTGCCAGGCAGGCACAGTACCACTGAGCTACATCCCTGGCCCTCAAATGTCTTAAAAAAAAAGATATACTATGGTAATTAGACTATCTTAGAGTAAAAAGACAAACTGTAAATAATATGAATAATATGATCCCATTTTAAAAAATAGTATATGCATAAACTAGGGAAAATTTATAGAAAGGCATCCCTGTATTATAGGAGTTTATCATCTTCTACTTTATATGGTTTTGTAACAATCACTGATTGGCTGTTGAATCAGAAAAAAACCCTAGAAACAATAAAGGTCATGTGAGAATATCACAAATAAATGACTATTAGGTTCTAATTAGGAAAGCAAATATAGCTCTATGTAAACAGTACTTAACATTACTGTAATTTAACTTTTAAGGCAAATGTTATTTCTAAAGCAAAAAAAAAGCTGAGTGTGAGAAAAAGTGAGAAGGAACTGGATAAAAGCTAGCTCATTTGGTGTTTAGGAATGTAGTGTATCTACTGCCAATTTACGATGGTGATGCTGCTCTCCAACAAAGAAAACATTTAGTAATAAATAATTCCTGTCAATACGGCGTGTTTGCAGGCTATGATTGTACCTCTTCTCCCAGTTAATTTCTACTGTTTGCTCCTAACTAGAGCAAGCTCATTCACCCCATCAACAGCAACACCTATGTGAAGCAGCACTGCACGTTACTTACCCGTTGTCCAGAAGAAAAAGAATGACAACAGCTAACTTCACCAACTAAATGAAGGAGAATGTAGGTCAGGTAATAGGCCTGTCAGAGAAACGAGTACAACTGATGTCCATGAAGAAGTTAACACAGATATCATTTCAATTTACCCATTAGGGAAGCTGCCCAGGAAGTAGAAAGGATGGAACCCAGCTAGCAAGGGAGAAAAAGCCAGGCATTTAAACCAGGCTTTTTGATTGAGTTTCTAACTAAAGTACATTCATTTTACCACCATGAAAGCCCTAGTATAGGGCTACACAAGATAGTCTCAGTACTAAATTACTAAAACCACCCTTTTACCTAAACTCCCAACTCCCACTCACGATTGAGTTATTTTAAAACAGTAACATAAAGATACCTGCTTTTCAAGTTCTAAGTGAAGACTGTCATCAATCACGCCATCTGGTTGTTCAGCCCTTTTCTTCAGGACCATTTTCTTTAACAAATCAGAAGGTTTCATTTGCACGAGATAGCGATGTAGGATTGATATCTATCGAAAGAAAGGGAAGCGCTTGAACGACAGACACGCAGCAGCACAGCTGCCCTTCATAGGCTACTTTCCTCTCAGCACAGTGACCATCTATACCCTGCCTCCTTCAACTGTGCCCTGCTAGCTTTCTTTACAGTCCAGTGACATCCACTTCCCCTGCAAAATCTTCAACTGCTGAAAAAGGGATTTTAGGTTTAAAGATTCAGTGCTTGTACCTAGGAGTATAAATGCTTGTTTATTTTTGCACACACTCCTACCACTGCTCTTCCCACACTAAGCCACAGTGGCTGGGTGACAACTATTATTACACCATGTCTTCAGTTGGTCTCTAATTCACCTTTTTACCCTCAGGCCCTGGTAGAGAACCTTGTACTGAAATGCAGTCCAAACAAGAATAACATAGGAACACCCAGATCAGGTACAGTGCGTTTTCAGATCCAACTAAGGGTAACCCCAGCAGTGATAGCAATGTAAAAAGCCATCAGACTCAGAATGGGATTTCCCTGAGACATGTTTACATACACTCACAGATCCACAACTGAACAAGTGTTGGAGGGAAACCATATTAAAGCTTTATGGTCTAAAAAAGACCACTTACTACTAAAGCAGGTACAAGACACAATTAATATATAACAGTTTTGCAATTTTTTTTTTTTTTTGGTGGTACTATGGATGGAACCTACAGGCACTCTAACACTGAGATATATACTACTAGCCCTTTTTATTTTTTCTTTTGAGACAAGGTCTTGTTAAGTTATCCAGGTGGGACTCAAATTTGCAACCCAGCCTTCAAGTACTGCTGAGGTTGGTAAGTTGAATAAATTCAATAAATGTCAGTCATATCATAGTACATTATAATTTCCCTATAGTTTATTCATACATTAACTCAGATGGTCCGTATCAATCATACATGGTAGAGGGTCCAATATCATCTCTATAGCACTTCACAGAAGAATAAACTGGATCTTGTTAGTTAAGAGTCATGTAAAAATTACATGAATAGTATTTTTCCTGAATTGAGATCTAATCCCTGGACTTTTGACTTAAGATCCATCAATTTTCCCTATACCTCACCATCTCTCCTATTTGCTTATTTATTGAAAAATACATATACCTGAAGATTACTGGCATTAGAGACATCTTCATGTTTCTCATCCAGAAGCTTTGAAATAATCACTAGACTGAGGCACTGTCTCAACTGCCTGGAATTAGAATTTAAAAGTATTTAGAAAAAATTTTAATCAATACTACCGGAGAAGCAAATAAATGAGCCAAAATGAGTTCTAGTTCTAACTGGAAATACAAACAATGTTTTAAGGGGAGGTTCTACAAGGATATAGAAACTGTTATAAAATAGCAAACTCCTTCCTTCCTTCCTTCTTTTTTGGTTGTGCTGGGGATCAAACCCAGACTCACACATACTAACCAAGCGCTCTGCCAGTGAGATACATTCTAAGCCCCTTTATAAAAAAAAATCTCAAGAGGGCTGGGGATTTAGCTCGGTGGTTCTGGCACCTGCCTTGCAAGCACAAGGACCTGAGTTCATTCCACGGTACCAAAAAGTCTCAAGAACCAGGAAAGGTAATCCCAGCATCCAAGAGGCTGAGGCAGGAGGCTCAGAAGTTCAAGGCCAACCTAGGCTACACAATAAATTTAAGGATGGCCTGGACTGTATATGCAGACCCTGCCATTTTTTTTTTTGAGAAAGATTCATTAACTTGCCCAGGTTAGACTTAAAAGTTGCAATCCTTCTGCCTCAGCCTTCCAAGCAGTTAGGGATTACAGACAGGCACCAAATAGGGCAGTTTAGAACAGTAAATCTCTTTAGTAAAAAGTAAGACAATTTTAATTAATTTTTTTTGGGGGGGGTTACCGGGGATTGAACTCGGGACCTTGCCCTTGTGAGGCAAGCAACAGAACCACTGAACTAAATCCCTGACCCTAATCAATTTTTATAGTTAGTGTTATCTATATTGCTGTCAGATAAATTAAAAATAGAAATCAAGGGGTCGGGGATTTAGCTCAGTGGTTCCACTGCCCGCCTCACAAGTGCAAGGTCCTGAGTTTGATCCCCAGTACTGGGGGGAGGGGTATGACAGAATGATTAAGAATTAGAATCAGGCTATCAATGATCTTTACCCTCCAACTAAATACAAAAGGCTCCAATCTAACATTCAAAGAATGATGAACGGAAATAGAGGACTTAAAAGCAGTTTGTTAGTGTGAACATCTAAAGCTGCTTCATGTTTGGTTTGGTTTTCATTCTTCAATACCTTCCACGTGATGTCCAGTTGGGGACTAGCTGTACCAACCACAGAAGGTTGTGAGGATGACTAGAGAGTTCATTTATGCACATACAGAGTTGACGCATCTGAAAAAATAAGAAAGAATACTCAAGATTTCTTTCCCAAGGTTTGGCAGAATCAAATCTATGTGTTTTGCCCTATTAGAAGCATTATCAAAACCGCATGACGTTTACGACATGTAAAATGTATGCAATGAGTCTGCTTCATTCTATCTTGTATCAAATATATACATTTATTAGAATTTCACAAGTACCAGTTTCCAAATGTGTATAATGAGTTGCACAAGATCATATATATTTCTGACTTGGAATTTCTTGTATTTGGGGATCCAATTCCAGTATTTTAAAAGAAATTACTTTTGTTTTTTTGAGACAAGGTCTCACCAGGTAGTTCAGGCTGGACTTGATCACACTGTGTAGCCCAGGCTGGCCTCAAACTGGGGGCGATCCTACTACTTCAGCCCGGAGTGCCGGGATTATTGGCATGTGCCACCATGCCCAGCAATTTTAGTATTTTAAAAAGGAAACAGTTAAAAACAAAACAAAACAAAAAACTAGGGGCCAGGGATTTAGCTCAGCGGTTCGGTGGCCTGCCTTGCAAGCGCAAGGACCTGAGTTCAATCCCCGGTACCAAAAAAAAAAAAAAAAAAAAAAAAGTAACAGTTGTTCCAAAATAATCTGTGAGAAGGGGAAGGAAGTATGGGTGGGATTAACAGGTCAGACAAAATTTTGTCTTAATAGTTTATAGTGATAATTTTAGGGGTTTATTATACCCCTCCCCAACTTTGTATGTACTTCAATCTTTCCACCCAAAGTAGCTGAAATATATAAACTTTAAAAAGGTCTAATAAAACTTATACATGTTCACCATCCATATGGCTGTAGAAATGCAACTCAAATCGGTGCTGTTCATGTCTCACCCCACTACCTCACCCACGTTTCGGCTCAAAGGGGATTTCAGAACGGCCTCCCTGACTCCTCACGCTGCCAAGGCACGGCATTCCTGCCTCGCTGCTCTCTCTACCCAGTCCTGTGTTAGTTTGCAGCACTTAATTATACCTGACAATTACAACCTATATCCACTTGTTTACCATCTAACTGAGTAGAAGGAAAGCTCTGTAAAGGCACAGGTATTGCCCTTTCACAGCGATCTCTCTTTTTTTTTTTTTTTTTTTTTTTTTTTTTTTTTTTTTTTTTTTTTTTGAGACAGGGACTCATTATGTAGTTGAGACTGACCTGGAACTTACTATGTAGCCCAGGCTGGTCTTGAACTCACACACAGCAATCCTCCTGTCTCAGCCTCCCGAGTGCTGGGATTATAGGTGTGCGCCACCACGCCCGGCGTTTTTCTTGGTTTTTTGAGACAGGGTCTTGCTATGTAGTTCAGGCTGGCCTAGAGCTCACTGTGCAGCCCAGTGTCCTCAAACTCCCAGGATCCTCCAGCATTACTGGGCGTGCACCACCACACCCAGCACAGCTGGACCTCTATACCTACAGCAATGCTTGGTCCATAGCAAAGCTCCAAGAAGCATAGTGTGGCTGACTGAAGAGCCACAGTTTTAGGGAAGACTGTTATTTAGTAACACAGTTGCAGTACAGTCCTTTCCTCACTTCCTTTTTCATCTGTCAAAGATTTAACTGAGCTTAGAATAATGATTTTAATTCTGTATGCAATTAGGATATCAAATTGTGATGTATAAAAAACCAAAACCGAAGATTTAAGTAATATTACCTTTGTGTTCCAATCTCTGATGTTTTTCATCAGGTTTATCAGGAGGCTTTGAAAGTCTACTAGAGGAATCTGTTTCAGCTGTTTCTCCAAACTCACTTTAAACAACATTAAGATCAGCAGCATCAGCTCACGGTCTTGGTAACCTTCTGGATGTATAGATGTACATAAGCCTAGGAACTTTGAAAGAAATGCACAGAGAAAGCAATTTAAGATATGTTTTCCTTTTAGAATTTTAATTATAGTCTCATTTTTTTTTGTTTTTTTCACACAGGGTCTCACTATGTAGTTCAGACTGCTCTAGAACTCATTGTGTAGCCCAGGCTGGTCTCAAACTGCAGCGATCTCCTGCCTCAGCCTCCCGAGCACTGGGATTACAGGCGTGTGCCACCACGCCCGGCTTTACTTACAGTCTTTTAAACAAAAGCTACAAGTATCAGATGCCTGGAAAAGGACAGAAATATTCATGCTAGTAGTTGAATGAAGTGATAAGTATTTTTGTCTCCATTTCCCATTAAGATTTTAATGGTTCATTATCACTGATTTGATACAGCAACTAAAAAAGTATTTCACCTTTTTTCCTTTTTGAGACAGGGTCTTGCTATGCAGTCCAAGCCTTGAACTTGCTATGTAGCCCAGGTTAACACTGCTTGAAGTGGTGACTCTTCTGCCTCAGCCTCCCAAGTGTTGGCCTTACATGTGTTCAACACCATATTTGGCTCTCTGTTACTAATTTTTTTTTTTTTTTTTGGTACCGGGGATTGAACTTGGGTCCTTGTGCTTGCAAGGGAGGCGGTGGAACCACTGAGCTAAATTCCCAGCTCTGTTATTAATTCTTGATCATTAAATTATACTGTAATACTTTTGTCCTTCATACATGATAATTCTAAAATGTTACTGGTTTACAAACTACTTTAATGACACAACTCTGACCTAAAGTTCCCCTTCCATTTCCAATACTAAAAATAAAAACAGCAGGCTAACATGGCTCTCCTCACAACAGCCTGCCCTGTGTCCTTCAGAGTGTACTTTTTTTTTTTTGCACTGGGGTCAAACTCACATCTTTGCACTTGCAAGGCAGGCAATGGCACCACTGACCTAAATCCCTGGCCCCTTCAGGGTGTACTTTTATCTCACTTGTTCCTTTTTTACTTGGCCCACGGTCACTCTGCAGAACCAGTATCTCTTTAACTCTTCATTTTTACTTTTTCAAATAAACTTTGTCAGTATTAAAAACAACAAAAAACCAAAAACAACACACCAAACAAAAAAGCAGCAAAAGCAACCTTCAGTACAGATTATTGCTAAGAAGTTCACCTGGTAAGAAATTAGTAAAATCATCTGGTAGAAAAATTAAGTCTCTAAAAATACATTAACAACAAAACTAAAGTTATTCTGGCTTTGTACCAAAGATAAACAAAATTTTATCCTACCTTAACCACATTTAAAATATTGGTTTCAGGAAGAGTTGAAAAAATTGGTTTAGAAGATGAATCTTCACTTCCTTTTTCCCCCAGCGTCATTTGTGTTTCAGAACTATCGAGAAGTGAATAAAGCAACTGAAATTAGGCACAAAATAATTACTTGCTTTTAGAAATAATGAACAACTGCATTTGAGGGGTATGTGATGGGGATGATGAGGGTGGTAGAGATGGATCCAGGGCCTCAAGGCACTGGGCTCTACCACTGAGCTGCATCCTTAGTCCTTACTTTTTGCGGGGGGTACTGGGGATCAAACTTGGGACCTTGGGCTTGCGAGGCAGGTGGCAGAACGATTGAGCTAAATCCCCAGCCCCCGTACCTTGTTTCTGAAATGGAGTTTTACTATGTTGTTCAGGCTGGCCTGGAAAGTTAGATGTTCCTGCCTCAGCCTCTTGAGTAGCTGAGATTATAAGACTATACCCACCATGCCCCGCTTAACAAATACTTTTTGAAAACTGTTTTATTGAGGAATAATGTACATACAATACAAGGAATGTACCCATTTTAAGTTCTGGTAAACATATACACCAATTGTCAGTTATTCAAGTCAAGAAACAACGTTTCCGTCATCTCCTAAAGTTCCTCCAAGTCAACCTCATACTCCCCTAGAGGCAGACTGTGCTCTTCCTCTGAAGCAGCTCCTCTTCGTAAGACCTGTTCTTAGTGATGCTGCTGTGAGAAAGTCGCACAGAAGGTGGCTGATGACAACTCGACCTTACAAGTGGCCAAAAGAAACTGCCACAACACCACCAACAATTCTAAGTAATCCATCCTTGTTCAGGTTCCCAGTCAAGTTTCATGGAAAAAAAGAGACATGGATTTGGCTTTCAAAAAATGAGGGCATGGGCTGGGGATGTAGCTCAGTGGCACTGCGCCTGCCTTGCAAGTGTAAGGTCCTGAGTTTGATTTGTAGGATTGAAAGAAACCAAAACATATCCAGGTGCTCTGCCGAGATGCAGAGCTGCCCTCCCAACCGGGCTGCGTCAGCCGTTCACACTCTTTAGTGACTATAGTACAGACACCCCTCCCTTGCGATCTACCTGTCTAGCGACTGTTCAGGCTGATGACAAGGTGCATGCTATTCACTTTGTTTCGTTTTTTTTGGGTTCAGTTCTGTACATCTTGCTTATACAGCCTCATATCTTTCTTTTTTTTTTTTTTGGTACCAGGGATCAAACTCCAGACCTTGTACTTGTGAGGCAGGTGGCAGAACCACTGAGCTAAATCCCTGGCCTAATCTTTCTTTTGTACAGTACATCTTGTTTATACCTTACTGTGGTTTTGTTATTATACATTACAGTACTGCACGTAAGAGTTATGAAAATAAAAGCAAAGTTATCAAGTAGGGGTTTGCTTTGACCATTTCTTTGTTCTGAATACAGCAATGTTCATATTATGCATAATTCCTTATATAGCAACCAATTACTAACCTAGTGGCAGGAACTACTTTGGTCGAGGAATCTCTGTATGAGATACATTTGGTTTTTGACCCCTACCCTGCTCCGCCCCAATTCTAAGCAACAAGGGTAAGAGGAGCCTCTTGTTTGGTGACACCCTTCCAGCCTCACAGGTCTGTGCTAATGGGTGACTCCTGCAGGATGGAATCTGGCTGCCAGAGGAACCAATTTGCAATTAGACGGGAGTCCACCCAGAGGGCTAGAGATTAAGTTAGCCACAGCACCAAAGCTTTAACGAATCATCCTTGTGTAACGGGGCTCCCTACAAACCTAAACGTCTGGACTACACCTGGAGAGAGCACAGATGTTGCTGGGCACACTGCCTCTATACCATGTCCTAAGGATCTGTTCTGTTTGGCTGCTCTTTGAGCTGTATTCTTTTTTTGGGTATGGGGATTGAACTCAGAACACTGCAGTTGCAAGGCAGGCGGTGGCACAACTGAGCGAAATCCCTGGCCTTTGAGCTGCATTCTTTGCAGTGAACTGGTAATAGTAAATAATCTGCTCTCTCAAGTTCTACAAACCATTCTGAGAAATTATCAAACCTTAATGGGGGATGGTGGGGCCTCCAGATTGAACCTAGTTGGATGGAAGTATGGGAGGTCCGTATCTGTGAATGGCACAGGAGGAGGGAAGAGTCCGGTGAGGTGCAGCTCCCATCCGTGGGTTCTGCACTAACTCTGGGCAGTCTTAGAATCTAATCAAGCCATAGAACATCTATATAGAGAAATGGAGACATGCAACATGTGAAAGACCCACATATTTGGTGTCAGAAATGTGAGTGCAGAGAAACAGTTCTTTTTAACCATTTACCATGCCCTCTGGTCCACTTTTTTTTTTTTTGAGACAAAGTCTTCCTATGTAGTCCAGGCTGACCTGGAACTCACTATATAGCCTAGGCTGGAACTGAACTTGTGGCCATCCTGCCTCAGCCTCCCAACTGCTGGGATTATAGCTGGGCATCACCATCCCTGGCCTTCTGGTTCATTTTTAACAAATGGCAGTATATTACTCTACATCTTTCTTTCATTTAGCAATAAATATACCTTGAAGAAACTTTCACAATTCTACATAAGTAACCTTATTTTTAAAAATAGCTGTTTAGCTCAACATGGTGGCACACACCTGTAATCCCAGCACTTGGGAGGCTGAGCCATGAAGATGGCCACAAGTTCAAGTCCAGGCTGGAGCTACATACTGAATTCAAGGTAAGCCTGAACTGCAAAGCAAGGCCTTGTCCAAAGCAAAGCAAAATAAAACACTGCTTAGTAGACCCTAGGTAGAATAGAAGGAAAAAATGCAGGTAGAAAGGAGACAAGGAGAGCCAGGGATTTAGCTCGGTGGCCCCTGCCTGCCTCTCAAGCGCAAGATTGAGTTTGATACCCTGTACCAAAAAACAAAAAAAGACAGGGAAATCATAACTAAAAATTTGTACTCTATTAAGGACCGGAGATTTAGCTCAGTGGCTCTGCACCTGCCTTGCAAGTACAAGGTCCTGACTTTGACACACACACACACACACACACACACACACACACACACACACACACACACTATATATATATATTAAAAACTGCATGGCCGGAGATTTAGCTCAGTGGCACCGCGCCTACCTTGCAAGCACAAGGTCCTGAGTTCAATCCCTGGTGCAAAAAAACCCAAAAAACAAAAAAAAACCTGTAGCTTCCAGAACTTGGCTGCCATCACCCAAGATAGTCAGTCCTATGCCAACATTTTTTGACTTGATTTACACTCTACCAGACCCATCACTAAAAGGACATAAGTTGTCTCAATTTAGAAAGTAAACAGCAGGCTGAGTGAATCTAGGGAATGTTTAAATCACCTATCAAAAAACAAAACTCCATCCATGCCTGTGGACGGGGCTAGTCCTTCTGAGGTAGGGGATGCATGGGCACTTGCTTCCTGGGCTTTTCACCCCTCAGGTAAAGCACAAACGTCTCCAGCTCCAAACTGTAATGCATCTCATTTTCCTGAGTGCCCACACTCCTGTCCTGAGTGCATACTATAACCTCTATCTCTGCCCAATAAACTCCTGTGTCCCTTTCTGATGTGTCTTGAAAATTTCCTTGGTGTGACAGTAATCAACAAACCTGCTTGGAGGGGTGGATTAAGTTGGGAAACTCAGATGGAGCATGGTGTCAGTCCTTTGTGCCCATTCCAGGCTAACTCTGAGTTACTTAACCTCTCTCTGCTTGACCTATTTGTAAGAGGAGAAGTACTATTAACGTGTAGTCAGTATGAAGTGCGGTACTCTGTGAAGCCCTTGGAAGAGTGTCTGTTCCACACATAGCAAGTACGATGTAAGGGCTAGGAGTTATGATGTGGAAGAACAGCAGGTAGGATCAATCTGGTTAGAACAAAAGGCTAAGAGCAAAACAGAAATTATGTCAGAATAAAATTATAAAGTCTTAACTATGAGGCAGAAAGAGAGAAAAGTTATTCCAACAGTAAAAAGATATTGTGAAGGTAAAAATATTTTTGCTAAGCTAGGCATGAAAAGATCTGAATTAGATAATGCTGGGAATGAAAAAGAAGAAAAAGCTATGTGATAGCAGGATACAAATACACACAAAAATTAATAGTTTTTATACACCAATAATCAACAATGAACCATGGAGAAAGACATTAGGCAATCACTTCACAGTAGCTTTATAAGAATTAAAAACTTGAGCTGGGATGTAGCTCAGAGGCATAGCTCCAGCCTGGCAAGCTCAAGGCCCTGAGTTCGATTCCTGGTACCTAAATAACAATCAATCTAACCAAGAGAGGGAAAAGATCTTTATAATGAAAACAAAAGAGACTAAAGATGACACAAGAAAATGGAAAAATATTTCCTGTTCCTGGATAGGCAGAACCAATATCAGCAAAATGGTCATTTTACCAAAATGCCTATCTAGACTTTGCCAGGTGTGGTGGTGCATGCCTGTGATCCCAGCACTCTAGAAGCTGTGGCAGCAGGTTCAAAGCCAGCCTGGACTACAAAGGGAGACCTGGTCTCAAAAAACCAAAACCAAAACCAAACTGAGCAAAATAAACAAACCCTGATATATAGATTTAATGAAAGCCCAATCAAAATATCAACAGCATCCCTCATATAGAACTAGAGAAAACAATACTAAAATTCATATGGAACCAGGAGAGACCCAGAATAGCAAAAGCAATCCTGGGCAACAAGACCAAAGCAGGAAGCATCATAATCCCTGATTTGAAGTTGTATTACCAAACTATGAAGACAAAAACAGCATGGTGCTGGCACAAAGAGACAGTCATACAGATTAACGGAACAGAATAGAGGCTGCAGAGGTGAGGTGTGGTGATGCACATCTGTAATCCCCACAACTGGGAAGCCAGAGAGTTCAAGACCTGAGGGTGGGGGAGGAGAGGAGAGAGAATGCAAAACAACACCAAGCACTGCCAGCCATCGGATCTTTGACACAGGAGTCAAAAGCACAGGCTAAAGGAAAGATAGCCTCTTTTAACAAATGGTGCCGGGAAAACTGGCTATCCACATGCAGGATGAATCTATACCCATCTTTTTCACCCTGTAGTAAAGTCAAGTAAAAATAGATCAAAGACCTAGATATTAAAACAGAAACATTAAATCCACTGGAAGACAAAATAGGTCAAAACTCTTGAAGACACAGGCGCAGGCAAGCATTTTCTCATCAGAACCCCAAAGGCACAAGAAAAACCAAGAATCAACAAATGGGATCATATCCTATTAAAAAGCTTCTACACAGCAAAGGAAACAAAGGGCAGAGTGAAGACACAACCTACAGAATGGGAAAAAAATTTTGCTACTCCTAAGCCACTCCTGAGCCAGAACACTACTACAGTGGTTCCTCGGTTCGTGAACTAAATTTGTTCTCCGATTTTGGAAAAGATGGCCATGTTTGTGTTTGTGTGGGAAAGGTGGCTGTGGTAGTGTTTGTCACCTGATGCGCCAGCTTCTGCTTGCGAACCAAACTGTTTGTAAACAAAAACATTCCTGAACCCAGGTACCAATGTATCTAGACTATATAAAGAATTCAAAAAAATTAGATCTCTGTCAAATGAAAGACCCAGTTTAAAAAAAAGAGCAAATGGAATAAAGAGACACTTCTCAGAAGAAATACAAATGGCCAACAAGTACATGAAAAACTATTCAGCATCTTCGGCCATTAGAGAAAGGCAAATTAAAAAAAACAGATTCCATCTTACTCTATAAGAATGGCTATTCTCCCCAATCAGTAAGAAATGCTGGCAAGGCTATAGGGAGAAAAAGGAACCCTCGACATTTCTGGTAGGAAAGCAAAGAAAATCAGAATAGAGATCCTTAAAACATTTCATTTGTTCCCACTACACTTCTGGGTATCTTCACAAAGAGTACAGACATCATATTATAGTGATACATGCACATCCATGTTTATAGCAGCACAGCTCACAATAATAGTTAACTCTTGTAAGTGAATCAAGAGAATGTTACATACACACAATGGAGTACTAAATCATAAAGGACAAACGAGGTATCTGCAGGAAAACAGATGCGCCTTGAGCCTATGATGCTACGTGAAAGACATCTGAGACAGAAGGGTAAGCACTGTATCGTATGCTTTCCGTCATCTAGAAATACAAAGTACAGTAACTTAAAGAGCAAAATAAAAGGTATGAGGAAACTGGGAGGCAGAACTTTTGCAGATGGAAAGGGGATCTAAGGACAGAGGAAGAGAGGAAGGAGGGACGAGGAAGGGGAAATAAAACGGACTACGACGTGCTATGCATATTATCAACCCCCAGGATGAATGTATTTGTTGTATATTTCAAACATGTACGAATTTAAAAATCTATGATGCAGACAGAGGAACAGAGATGTGAGAACTGATGAGATAGCAGAATCAAAACAGGGTAGGATGTATTTTAGGACTCAAATTTTAAATCTGTACCTAGCAGAATTATGGTCCGGAAAAGAGCTGAACAACTATCCCGTAACATCTACAAATGTTTCTACTCCAAATCTATTTGTATAGAGATTTTGCTTGATGACTACAAATATACAGCCAGCAAAATAAATGTGCAGTCTTCAGTCCTGGCAGGAGTGAGCTATGTGGTCCCCACAGCCCCCAGTGCACGCTCAGGTTTAGACAGGTCCTGCACATACCACACTGGCCTCTGCACCACCCTTTGGCACCGCCATGCGGCAATAGCGACTACAGCCACCTGCGCAGCCCTTCAACTGGCCAAGTAACCAATACAAAAATAATTTTATTTTTCTAAATGTGATTTGCATTTACTATTAACATAATCATTACATGCCTTTTTCACCATTCATCTCCACTACTGTACATGCTTACAGAGAAGAAAAACTCAAAATCTGTTGCATGTAACACACAAAATCACCATTAGCGAATTTGTTAACTGTTAAATACTAAAGTAGCTGGTATTTTATGAGGTAACTTAAAAAACTCACAGGTATTTTGAGAGAGTGCTTGTAATATGTGGGGAAAATATTTGGAGTTTTTGGATGGGCTGTGGAGGCATTATTTTTCCTCTTTAGAGTTGATGGAATATGGTCTCTAACAATTTTCTATCCGATAAATTTTCAAGAACAATTTACATCCGAATAACAGGGTGTCTGTTATGGTTTATATTTGGACGTCCCTCCGAAGACTCACACAACTGAAGGCAGAGCTTCTGAAAGGTAACTAACTGGATCCTGGGGCATTACAGATGAATGTGATGTCAGAAGGTAGGGCCTAACTGAAGAGGCGAGTCACTGGGGTGTGCCTGGCAGGGTGAATCTCCTTCCTGGCTCCTCCCTTCACTCTGCTTCCTGTCACTGGACAGACAAGCACCTCTCCTCCACCCAGGCCCTTCCGCCATGCCACTGACCATGCAAACACCGAAACTTCCAAAACACGAGCCAAAATAAACCTCTCCTCAAGATGTGGGTATTGAGTATTGAGTCCAGTAATGAGGAAAGTGAGTAAAACAGGGTCCTGCGTAGAATGAAAACAGAGGTGGAGAAATGAAGAGTTCTAGACATACCAAGTTAGTAAAATCTGCTTTTTCTCGTATGCGAACTTAAATTTTTTTTTTTTTTTTGGTGGTACCGGGGATCGAACTCAGGCCCTTGTGCTTGCAAGGCAGGCAGCAGAACCATGAGCCAAACCCCTGGCCTTTAAATGTATTCTAATATTCAAGAATTAACTTACTTTTCTGTGATCACTTTGTTCCCTTCCTTGGCCATTTTTCTAACACTTATTGATCTTTTTCTTACTGATTTGACAATTGTTTCTTCCCCTCTACTCTGAGGTGTCTTCCTTTGTGTTTACAATTATCGTCATACTGATTCTTTGGTTTCTGGTACTGGGGACTGAACTCAGGACGTTGAGATGGCGAGGCAGGGGGTGGCATCACTGAGCTAAATCCCCAGTCCTGTCATATTGATTTTTTAAAAAATGTAGTCAAGTAAATATTCCCTTTTATGGAAGGCGTTAGTACATACACAAGACCATCTTCTAGGATTATAAACAAAACCCTGCCAGTTTCTTCTATTACTTTTGTTCTTTTATTATTATTCTATACATTTAAATCTTTGATCTATAGGTTTGAGCTATAAATCAAAATTTTTTTCCTAGATGGCTACTTGGATTTCCTAACGCTGGATAATACCAGAACTGATTAGCTCCGTCTTTCCTCATTTCTGAGGTACTGTTACTAAGTACCTATACACATGTGAGCCTACCTTGACTTCTGCGTTTGGTTTCACTGATGAACTTTGCATCCTTCCACTTGTACCATTCTATTTTATTTATAAGGCGAGTGCTAACTCATAAATTTCCTGGGTACTTTTTATTTTTTTCCCATATGACTCAGAATCAATAGTATGGTCCCAACTCCCTTCCAACACCCCAAAATCCTGTGGGCATTTTTTATTAGGGTTTTGTTATTGAAAATGCTGAATTTTCCTATCTGAAAGCATGGTAGGCTTCCCATTTAGTAAAGTCATTTCTGTTTCTTCATACACGTGTATTTGTAGTTAGAGCTACAGAACAGGTATGAGGGCTATTGGTTTCTTTTTAATTTTATACCCTGGCACCTATACCAAATTCCCTTCTTATTTGTCAAATTTTTCAATTGATATGTATGCTCCTGTGTACAGGTTAAACCTATTATATAAGCAAACAATCTTTCAACAAATCCTTTCTAATTTTTACGTTTTTTCCTCTTGTCTAATACCTGCAAAACAATGTTAAATAACAATGATCAGTCTTACTAGCTACACCCCCCCACCCTTTAAAATTTTTTTCTTTTGGTACTGGGGATCAAACTCAACACCTTGTACTTGTGAGGCAGACACAACACCATTGAGCTAAATCCCCAGCCCTAAAAATATAATTGAGACAGAAGCTTGCTACGTTAGAAGCTGTTGCTCCTGCCTCAGCCTCCCAGGTGTTGGATTATAGGTATTAGCCACTGTGCCCTGTTTCTTTTTAAAAAAACCTCCTTAAGGGAATGGTTCTATTATTTCCCTGTCAGACATGATGTTGGTCTTTAGACTTAATTTACTATGATTTTATGTAAGTTGTCTTAAATGATGTTTTTGGAGTCCAGTAAGAAAACTTACACTAGATTGTCTTCATTAAAGTCTGGCTGAAAATTCTCCAGAGGAAACAAAGACCTAAAGTCAATCCCCATATTGAAAAACACAGCTGCTATGTCAGACAGTGATGGTATCCAGGGCCAAACCGGTGAGTCGCTGAAAGTATCTGGTTAACAGAGAAAAATGTTATTCCAAATCACTCGTCCATATACCCACATTGGCAAAACAATAATCCGCATGTGAAGCATAGATTATTACAATTACTTACAGAAATGACACGTTAATGATATATTAACAACACAAAGACATCTCAGTTCAGGAAATTAATCCTTTCCATGATTCTGATTGCAAATTGAATTGGATGAGAACCGAATCAAATTTCCCCATAAGGTCAACACTGAACCCAACCAGGGAATGTGAGACACCATTGCATAGTTAAGCTACAGAATGATCAAGGAATTGTAGATTTTCAAGAAAATGAATGAAATGACATTTGTGAAGAAAATATCTGAGAATGGTGGAATGTAACTCAGAAGGAAGCAGCACACTTGGAAATGACTAGGAAATAGCAAGGGTTAAGTTCCAATGACTCTTTAACATAGAAAGAGAATCTGAAATGCCTTTAGTCTTAATTTCCCAAACAAATCATCAGGTAAATCACAGTGCTTCTATAATTATATTATTTTCTACTGGGGACTGAACATAGCACCTTCACACTGAATTACATCCCCTTCCCTTAAAAAAAAAAAGGCCAGGCATGGTGGCACACGCCTGTAATCCCAGCACTTGGGAGGCAGAGGCAGGAAGATCATTGTGAGTTCGAGACCAGCCTGGGCTACAGTGAGTTCCAGGTCAGTCTCAACTAGAGTGAGACCCTGTCTGAAAAAACAAAAACAAATTTTTTTGAGTGTCTTACCAAGTCACTAAGTTGAGCAGGCTAGGCTCAAACTTGTGATCCTCCTGCCTCAGCCTCCCATAATGCTGGGATTACATGGTGCACCACCAAGCCCAGTTGATTCTATACAAAACTGTTGGCTATCGTGGCTGTCCTCATGATGGCCTGCCCTGTGCCCTCCAGGGTGCACTTTCATCTTGCTTTTGCCTTTTTTACTCGGCCCAAGCTTGCTCTGCAGAGCCAGTTTCTCTCTCACTCTTTCACTTTTACTTTTTCAAATAAATTTTGCTTCTGATCAATCAAAAAAATATATATTTTGTTCGCCAAGAAGCCAAATAAAACTGGCTAAATACATAAATACATTTGCAACTATTTTCACTTTTGCTGCAAAGTAAGCTATGATTTAATAAATATTAGGCAATGGTTGCCATGTGTAAGATCTTATACCCCTTTTTTCATGACAAGAAAAATGCAGATATTCTTTTCTTTGGGTACAAGGGATTGAACTCAGGACCTTGTGCTTGCCACAAGGCAGGGTCTGGGCCTGCTGAACGAAATCCCTGGCATCATTTCTTGCTAGAATTCCATTACGACAGATGTTTGATTACAACAATTTTATATTCTACATTTCCAAATATACTAATATTTGTCAGTATGAAAGATATCATGAAATAACAAGTAATAATACAGGCTATAGGTCACAGTGAATTTATATACTTACCATTTCTAATTGTTATCTCCATCAACGTACTTAAAATCTGCACCGACACAATACAGTCTGAATGAACCGACATCATCTGTGCAAAGTATATCAGTGACAGTATTAGTAAAGGAAACACAAACACCTAATATTTGTGAGGTGCATAGGAAGGTGTTTTATGTGCATTCCACAATAACCTTGAGTGGTCCTTATTACTTTTATGGGTAAAGAGAGTCAGAGAAATTAAATACCTTGTCCAATATGACAGGTGATACAGGGAAGATGTGGAATTTATTTATTTTTAAAATTTTATATTTTTATTTTTTTGAGACAGGGTCTCACTACATAGTTGAGACTGACCTGGAACTCACTATGTAGCCTAGGCTGGTCTTGAACTCACAGTGATCCTCCTGCCTCAGCCTCCTGAGTGCTGGGATAACGGGCATACACCACACCAGGTCCAGCTAAAATGTGGAATTTAAATCCAGGTTTGATTCCAAAGTCAGGACTTTCCTACTCTAACGTTGTTTGTTTTTCTAAAACTTTTTTAGGGCTGGGGTGTAGCTCACTGGAACCACATCTGCCCTGCAAGCACAAGGTCCTGAGTTCAATCCTCGGTACCCCCCCCAAAAAATTTTCTTTTCTATTTGTCAAAACATGCTTTTCTAGGATATATCATGACAAGTACCAGAACACAAAAGAAATAGTTGTAGGTTTATAATGGTGTAGATAACAAGGCATTAACTAGTAAAAATTTTGAAAGGATACAAAAATACAAATTAATATACCAATGCATTTTAAAAATGGTTTTTTAAGACAGGATCTTATTATATTGCCCAGACTCTAATTCCTGGGCTCAAGTGATCTTCGTGCCTCAGCCTCCTAAGTAGCTGGGATTACACAGGGTAGTACTATCACGCTCAGCTTACCAACGTACTTGGGACCTTGCACTTGCAAGGCAGGCCAACTGAACTGCTGAGCTAAATCCCTGGCCCTTAATGCACTTTTTAAAAAGGCACTTTCAGGGCCAGGGATTTAGCTCAGTGGCTCTGTACCCTCCTTGTAAGCACAAGGTCCTGAGTTCGATCCCCGGTACCAAAAAAAAAAAAAAAAAAAAAAAAAAGTGGCAAATATAAAAATATTGATAATATTGTGCTCACAACAGTAACAGAAAAGAGACAAGCCATCTCTTAGTATAATATAGTAAAAATTTTAAAGGAATTTTAGTAATACTTATGCAAAGTCATTTACTTAAAGCTTTCACCTCATCAGCTTTTTTACTCTATGAATTTTGATGCAGAGACAAATTTCTGGGAACAAAACCTCAAGTTAAAAAAAAAATTTAATAGTAGGGTACAGCTCAGTGGTAAAATGCGTGCTGTGTATGTACGAGGCTCTGAGTTTGATTCCTAGAACCAAGAAGGAAGAAAAAAAGCTAAAAGTAATATAACACATTGAAGGTAATAGTAAAGTGGGTTTGTATAGAACACACATTGTATTCTAATGTAAGCCAGGCCTTTTAGCACATGCATGTAGTTCTGGGAGGAGGCTGAAGGTCAGTGGGTTCAATACCAGCCTGGCCTATGCAGAGAGACTTTATAAAAAAACAAAACAAAATAAAACAAAAAACCAACAAACCAGAAGATAAAAATAAGCAAACCAACAAACCTAAAGTCTAAGGAGGAGTAATCCAAACTCTGTTCTCAATCAGGTATATATGGCCTATATAATCTAAAGTGTTTTTGCCATGTGTGTTAACTTCTTCCAGTAGACGGTAGCACGCAGCACCACTCAGACATGTTGTACACAGAACAGGCTTAGGTAACAATGCTTCCCGAAGTGTGACAGATCCTAGAGTGAGCAATACATTAACTCTGTGTAAATGTGAGAATAGTATATACAGCGGGGGTATGTAATTAGTTCAGTGGCAGTACCCGCCCAGCGGGCAATGAGGTCCTGGGTTCAGCCCTAGAACCACCAAAAAATGTAAATTCAGTAATCTAATGTCTATTGAAATTGGTTTAATTTTGTTTCTTGAGTTGGGGTCTATATGTTGTCCAGGTTGGTCTCAAACTTGTATACTCAAGTAACTGTCTCAGCCTCCAGTATAGCTGGGGCTACTGGCATGCATTACTATGCATGGTGGAGACTGGCTTAAATAAATAATGGTACAGTCTGACAAAGGAATAATACTGTAAGACAGCAAAAAAGATAAAGGGATAATACATATGTTGAGATAGAAATACTCAATAGTTCATCATATGAAATAAAAGTTACAAAACATTCACACACTGTGTTTAAGTTAGATAGTAATTTTTGATTGCAGAGAACAAAACACTGGTCAAAATGCCAGCAGCACTAGGTTTGGTAGAATTCAGCTTGCTTTATGTATTTTTTCTTTTGGTACCAGGCATTAAATGCAGGACCTTGTGCTTGCAAGGCAGGCACAGTGCCACTGAGCTAAACCCCCAGCTGGTAATTTTTTCATTTTTGAAGTACCAGGGACTGAACCCAGTGCATTATGCCTTGTGCATGCTAGAAATAGAAAAGCTCTACTTTAAGATTTTTAGATCAGGGCTAGGGATTTAGCTCAGTGGTTCCGCTGATTGCCTTGTAAGCACAGGTCCCGAGTTAGATCCCTGGTACCACAAAAAAAAAAAAAAAAGATTTTTAGATGAGAGTGATGACAGGCACACCTGTAATCCTAGCACTCACTATGTGTAACCCAAACTAGCCTTGAACTTGTGGTGATCCTCCTTTCCCAGTCTCCTGAGCCCTGGGATTATACATGGGAATCACCATACCCAGCCATACACTGTAAAAAGCTAACTATGGCTGGGAAATTAGCTCAATGATTCCGTCACCTCACCAGTGCGAGGACCTGAGTTTGATCCCGGCACCAAAATGTGGAGGGATTAATATAAAAGCTAACTAAATAGTGTTAGGACTAGAGTATTAAAATAAATTTGGACACAGTAAAAAAATACAAGTTGGCAGAGCCTCTCCATGAAAACAGATTTAGAACTGACAATGAGAAATAGACAAGGTGTCTAGCACATAGAAAGTACTTCATAAAATGGGCGTGGTGGTGCATGTGTGCAATCCGAGTACTTGAGAGGCTGAGGCTGTAGCATCACTGAGAGTTTAAAGCCAGCTTGGGCTACACAGTGAGTGCATAGTGAATTACACAGTGAGCCCCTGCCTCAAAGAGCCAAAAAATAAAAACAAAAAACACAACATTTCATAAATGATTACTTCCTTGGTATAAAAAAAAAAAAATGAAGAGAATAAAAACCTGCTCAGGTAGAGAGTAAACTACAGATACATACACACACAGAAACACAATTTTTGTTTCGTTTTCCTTTTTGAGACAAAGTCTTGCTATGTAATTCAGGCTGCCCTTGAACTCATGGCAATCCTCCTGCCTCAGCCTCCTAAAAGCTGGGATTACAGGCGTGTGCCACCATGCCTGGTGAGAGTAAACTGTATTCATCATAGTTTTTAAAGCTATGAGAGGCCCACATAACACAATGAAAATTAACATGAACAAATGCAAAGTCTGATTTCTAAGTTAAGGAAAAAGAATATACAATTAAAAGAATAATGAAGACAGCAAACAAATTTTGAATTACAATACTAGTATGTAGGTGAGACTGACAGGTGAATCTCAGTGGGAATTGCACCTCGGACAGACCTATCTGGAACCTGTGTCCATTTATAGGGTGCAGTGTCCTTTAGGGGTGACAATGGTGAACAAAATCATTTAGCAAGATGATCAGAATAGCGAGAGCCTGGAGAATGTTTGGTAGAGGATAAAGACTGCAAGAGTTATTTTAGAAACACTCGGACATGAGGCCTATTATGGGAAGCTATAGAAAAGATAATTAGTACCACTAGATTAAGACCACAGGGCGGCAAAAAAAAAAATTTTTTTTTTTGTTACCAGGGATTGAACTCGTGTCCTTGCATTCGCAAAGCAGATGTTGGAACAACTGAGCCAAATCCCTGGCCCCCTTGGTTTGTTTTTGAGACAAGCTCTTGTCGTGTAGTTCGGACTGGCCTTGAGCTCACTATGTAGCCCAGTCTGGCCTCAAACTCACAGCGATCCTCCTGTCTCAGCCTCCTGAGTGTTGGGACTACAGGTATGTGCCACCACGCCTGGCTGGGAGGTGACTTTTTTCTTCCTGGAACCAGGGATCAAACTCAGGACCTTGAGGTTGCAAGGCAGGCATGGCACCACTGAGCTACAGCCCTGGTGGGAGGCAAATTTTGATTAGGACTGTTAAAAAAATAATTACAGGGTCTAACTAGTGTCTCTCACCACCGAAAGCAAATGTTCCTTCCTGTGATCTCTGCATTACTAGCTCTTCTCTCTGCCTAAAATGCTCCCCTTACGAATGGATAAAGATGTGTCTTTTTGGGTACAATGGAGTACTACTCTGCCGCAAAGGAGGATGAGCTTGAGACATTTCTAGCTAAATGGATGGACCTTGAGACCATATTCTTAAGTGAAATAAATCAGACACATTTAAATATCGTATTGTTTCACTGGTGTGAGGAAACAGAAAGTGGAAATAACTAAAATGTATAAAAGATATTGGGAAATAGGAAGAAAATGTTCAAATGACAAGAGGAACAAGGGAGGAGCAAGGGGGAAAGGAAAGAAGAGACACGAAAAAAAAAAGGAAAAATAGAAGGAAAAAATGGAAACAGCTTTTGTAAATAAGGAGGGGAAGATGGGTTGAAGAGTGGGAATGAGAAAAAAAGCAGCAGCATGCACAGGTACAAATTCCCTATGATGAATGTTGGCATTATGTAGGTCTAAAATGTACCAATAGATGTTTGCTTAAAAAAAGTGCAATGTTTCCTTCACACAGCAGTGAGGCTCTTCCCATCACTGCTTTTCAGATGGCCAAGAATTTCACTGAAAAACGCTGGGAAGACAGGCCGTACCCGGAGCACATGCCTACTTACTGAAGAAAGGGTATCCTTTAGGAATATTAAGTGCCAAGTTACTCCTGTATCCACATCTAATCTCAACAGAAAGGGCTTCACCAACTACCTTATAAAAAAAAAAAAAAAAAAAAAAAAAAAAAA